GTTCAGAGTTGATTTTGATGCTCTACTTTAACTGTACATAGTGATGGATTATGGCTTGAGCTGCATCTACATAAAGACTTTTTTTAATCTGTCTATTTTATGTTCATCAGGGGACAGTGAAGGCTGTGCTATTGGTTCCCAGGGACTCCGGGTCCCCACCCAGAAGTCCTATTCCTCCAGTGAGACACTGAAGGCTTTTGACCAGCACCAAGACCAGACCAGGTGAGAAAATAGATGACACCATACTATCTTCTGTTTTGTTGAGCGACATTACAACTGTGTCAAAAATGTCAAAAACACAAATTGGCATATGTGAGTATCTCTATTTTTTCCTCTGTGTAATTCACCTTTGTAAACAGCTGGCTGAAACCGTATTAAATTATACTCTATTGAATAAACCTACATATATGGGAATTTATAAGCAAAGTTTATTTCTACTTAAAAAGACTTGGGTTGACTTAGACCTTCCTCAGTCTTGGCCAGCTTTTCCCAACCTTATAAGCAGAACATTTGCATTATGACCGAAGCTAGCACCACTGACAAGAATGGGCCATGAGGTCAGCCTTGACCATCGATGAATGGTCACAGAGGGAGTCAGGACCTAGCCATTGTGTCTGTGGTGATGGTGTTCGCTCTGTGTTGTGTCATTTTGATGATATTTATATCCAGTGGATGATGAGACTATATTATAAAAAAAATTCCCCTCTCACCCCTATCCTGTCTGTCCTTCAAGCTCAGGTCCTCTACCAGAGGCCTGCAGCTTGAGAGCCCTCGCAGTATCTTAGCTGTTCGTGGGACTGTTGTTTACGGTGCACATCGACTTTAAATGTCCCCCATTACTCAAGGAAATCTCAGTCTAAGAAGGCTAGCCTGTCATTTTTCATATTCTTCTAGTGAATTTTATGTATTTGTCCACCAAGTTAATGTGACCAGTAAATTGTGGTTGTTGCTGTGAAACGTGTCTCACTGTCCACATGAACAGAACTTTCTGGGATTTTCTTACCTCGATGACTCAACAATGTTCTTAGTATAGACATTTATTTAATCATCTTACAGTAATCATTACTTAATGCTGTTTTGTATAATTCCAGTAAATATATGTAGGTTAATTTACTACTATCAGTTTTTCATCATAAGAATTTGCACTTTGTCTGTTTTTCACTTCGATACATTCAGTTACATAACATTCATAAAAAAGCACGTAATGCAGAGCGTAGTTCGTTTCCTGTATTTTTGATGACCATGGTGATGATGTGGTGGTTGTATAGTTCAGAACATGGATCATCAAAAGTCTACAGCGTGTGTGCAGCACCTTCCTTTATCCTTCTTGCCCTTGGCTTTTGACAGGTTACTGTACGGGACAACCAAGGGACACAAGGACATGGTTCACCATGAAAAGGATGATTTTAACAGACAAGGTGAGAGTCTACAAAAGTGCACAGACAGAAATGCTATCCCCATCCATTTGTATGTGTGCACTAAGACCAACAAAACTACTGTGAAAAGATATTTCCATCAGTTACTTTAGAAATATGATTACAATGTAGCGACATTAAAGTACATATAAATGAAATTCAAACAACCTAGAATTGTATGCATAAAATTTGCATAACCTAACATTAAAAGTATATATGACAGGAGTTCAGAAAGAGGATGGAAGCATATGATAATAAGTCTGAGAAAAGAGAAAAATCACAGTAAAATGAATAATAATCACTTACAGTCCACTTACAACAGTATACATTATTGAACATATAATAGAAAATTAGTCAGTTATCCTATCACCTGTGTATTTGCAGCTATTTAAAGTGGAGAGGATAAATTCATGAACAGCGCCGCTGCTTCTCTCTTGCTGTGCTGTTAATCATCGAAGGGTTTTAGAACTTTTCTTTTTATCTGCTAATTGAAAATGAAACACACACTCAGATTTTAAATATGTTTTTAAGGATTATCCTGTTATTTGAAAACGATTTGAGCTCAATTCCAGTTACTCCTCATTTCCAGTTAAATGTAATTAAATCATATGAAACACAGATATCAAAGAAACAGACTTTGAAATAGAAAATTGAATTTTATTTATTTACTTTTATTTACTATTTAGCATCTTCATTCTGTTGTATTTCATCTATTTTTAAATTATTGCAGATTTTTAATACAAGAGTACAGGAGGAAAAAACAGACTTTACTTTATTCCCATGTTACAGTCATTATTGAGGAAAAGTAATGTATTACATGTTACTCATTACCTTTCTTAAAAGTAATGCAGTACCTCACTTAATTACTCATCATAGAAAGTAATTTTGACAATACGTACGTTACTTTGTTATTCTGTAAAATGCCCTGAAACACATCAGTGATAAATAAACCTGAGGCTACAGTCACACACCAACACAGATCCTTCTTTCCTCGTGTGGTGCATTTTCCATTGTTATACCTCTGACCTGTCTTCCCCATGTGATGTTTTGTGTAATGTATGTATGGTCGGAGGGTAAGATGGCGCCACCATTGCGTGCAATAGGTCGGCAGCCTTATGAAATTTCCCCTTGTGGGACTAATAAAGGTATATCAAATCAAATCAAAGATCCCTGTCTTAATGAGGAAATACGTGCAATCTTTTTATGTACGAGCACAACCCTGACAAACCAAGATGACAACCAGCCCAAACAGACTTCAACTGCAGTGATTCTCGCATAGAAACGTTATTGCTCGTCACTGCCTTTGTTACCTGTTCAAGTTCAGGCTCTGACAGGAAAGCTGGGATCATCAGACACTCAGCTTAAACATGATTCTGGGATTCTCCAAAAGCTGATTCTGTTCGTCTGGACGTAGCGTTTTGTGGGAGAAACGTTTCGTCACTTTCGCCATGAGTACCATCTGTGAATGGTCATTGATCAGTGGTGGTTGATCAATGGTCATGAGAATTTGCATAATTATGATTAAGGAACTGACCTCCCAGCCCGTTGTTCCCTCAGTGGGCTGGTTTCAGTCATTATGCAGATGTACTATTTATAAGGTTGAAACCTGCAGTCAGCTGAGACTGAAGACGACGAAACGTTTCTCCCACTGAAAGCATCCAGATGAACAGAATCAACTTTTGGAGATGTACTTACCTGGATGATTGAGCGTGCATCAAGATGATTCTGGGTTATGTACGGAGCCCCGCAGGGGACATGGGAGAAAAAAAAAATTAAGACGGACTTTTGCGAGATCTCGCAAAAACTTTTGCGAGATCTTGCAAAACAAACTCGGGATCTCGCAAAAGTTTTGCGAGATCTCGCAAAAGTTTTAGCCGCATTCTTTGGAGGCCGCCAGCTCGAAGCCGACCGGGAGGTCGAGGCACGATGTGCCGGGAAAGCAGTGTTCCTCCCGGCTGTAGTAGGTCTCGACCTCCCGTTAGCTTCGAGCTGTCAGATCTCCGAAAATGTCGGAGCACTTTTGCAAATATGTGATGTCTTGTGAACCGAGCAGGTATCTGACGTTTACACAACTACATTCACGCCTCAGAATATCTTACAAGTGTATTTTGTGACCCAGAAAGATTAATATTACAACTAAGTAGCTGCCGCCATTGTTGGAATTCAACTTTTGCGAGATCTCGCAAAAGTTTTGCGAGATCCCGAGTTTGTTTTGCAAGATCTCGCAAAAGTCCGTCTTAATTTTTTTTCTCCCATGTCCCCTGCGGGGCTCCGTAGTTATTGGCTGTCCTGAATACATTCCCGTTGTTTTATTTTATATCAGGCTCCTGTCCTTCTCTGTAGACCGCTCCACCAGCTGGTTGTCCGCACACATTCTTAGCTTGTTATTTAGAAACCTTCCAAATTTGACTAAAGTGAGTTGGGAAAGTGTCGGTACAAACTGTAAATGTTTTTTAATGTTATTCACTGTTTAAAAAGCTGTTGAGCTGTTAAAATCAATAATGTTTTATCATATAATTATTTATTATTATTTTTCACTTACTGCTTTTACTGTAATAACACTAATGATGAGTAAAGGTTATCATTTAATTAGCAGTAAAATTGATCTTTACTAAACTCTGTATAAAAACTAAAGCACAGCTTCATATTGATTATGTTAAATATGTCACTGTGAGCTGCACCACCACACATGAGACTTAAAGCACTTATATTCTCAACGTCTAATTGGATTTGAGGCACCTTTTGTCTGGTTTGTCTTCTGAGTTCTTCATTCAGTCTCATCAGAATTGCTTTGTCAACGATTCCTCACAGACTTCACCAGCTTTGACTGTTTTTTTCATAGCCGTCTTCCACCTGCTGTATATACACTGTATTGCCAAAATTAACCACTCGTCTGCCTTCACACATATATGAACTTGAGTGAGATCTCGTTCTTAATCCATAGGGTTTAATGTGATGTCAGCCCACCCTTTGCAGCTATAATAGCTTCAGTTTTTCTAGGAAGGGTTTCCACGAGGTTTAGCAGTGAGTTTGGGGAAATTTCTGACCATTTGCAACATCTGACAGTGATGTTGGCCGAGAGCCTGGATCTCAGTCTATATTTCCAGTTTATCCCGAAGGTGTTTGTCAGGTTGAGGTCAGGACTCTTTGTGCATTGGTGCACAGTGCTGCAGGAACAGGAAGGGGCCACCCCCAAACTGTTCCCACATAGCTGGGAGCTTGAAATTGTATCTTGTTATGCTGAATATTAAGATTTGCTTTAGTTGAACTAAGGCCAAGCCCAACTCTGAAAACAACTCCACACCATATCCCCCCACCAACAAATATAACACTGGACAGCGAAGTAACCTGGCAGTCGCCAAACTCAGATGCCATCATATTGCCATACAAAGAAACACGATTTGTCACCCGGAGATCAGATCCCCACTGCTCTAGAGTCCACTGGAAGTCTGCTTTATGCCGGGCTCACACTGTGCGATTTTGTCAGTCGCGCGATTCAGCTCCTGCTCAAACTGCACGATTGACTCGCAGGGGTTAGAAGTTCGTAGGTCACGATGTAGGGTCTCACACTATACGACCCGATGCTCTGATGCGACCCGAGTGCTCACCTGTGCATGAACATAATAACATGAAGGTTATAACAGAAATTCTGTCTCTCACTCACACAGACACACACCACCATCAACTTTGCTAAATTGCTAATGAAAAACATTGATCAGCTGTGATTGAGCAGCAATGTAGATCCAACTATTTTCACGGTTGTTGTGGTCGTGATAATTTTGTGAGGCCACATCGAAAAGGCTCGGATGAGCTTTCCAAAGTTCTACAAGTTCCTCCATCGCTTGTGTCCAGATCACACGCTGCACCGCCGTGCTGCGCCGTCCTTTTCGATGACATTTGTGTTTGCGCGTGCGCAGTGTGAGAAACTGCGGTGACAGCCTCACAACCAAGCGATTGATGATCGGGAGCTGGTCGTGAGGTAGCGTGGGGTATCGCTTCTCGTTACCCCACGTAGACTACACGATGCACGATGACGGCCAAAATCGGGCCGATCGCCAAAACGGTCGCACGACTCAAAAATCGGCTCAAAATGGGCCAAAAATTGCACAGTGTGAGCCCAGCATTAGATCACTTCATCCAATGCTTTGCGTTGTCCTTGGTGATATGAGGCTTGACTGCAGCTGCTTGGTCATAAACTCACATTCGATGAAGTTTTCTATTCAATTCAGTTTTATTTAAACAGCACCAAATCACAACAAGTCGCCTCAAGGCGCTTTATATTGTACCCTACAATAATACATACAGAGAAAAACCCAACAATCATATGACCCCCTATGAGCAGCACTTTGGCGACAGTGGGAAGGAAAAACTCCCTTTTAACAGGAAGAAGGAAGCACCAGGCTCAGGGAGGGGCGGGGCCATCTGCTGTGATTGGTTAGAGTGAGAGAAGAAAGACAGGATAAAGACATGCTGTGGAAGAGAGACAGAGGTTAATAAAGAGACACTGTTCCTGAATGAATCTGAAGGCCACATCAGGTTTGGAGGTCTGTAGCAACTGACTCTGCAGGAAGTTGGTGACCTCTGCATACTCAGCACCCCGGTCTGCGATTTAACATGGCCTACCACTCTGTGGCTGAGTTACTGTTCTTCTCAATCGTTTGTAGAAGCGGTCTGCATGCCTAGGTGCTTAAATTTATACACCTGTGGCCATGGAAGTGATTGGAACACCTGAATTCAATGATTTGGATGGGTGAGTGTACACTGGCAATATAGTGTATATTTTATGCCATAGTCACACCATCTCTGTGTATTAGATCTACAGTCATTTGCGATGATCTAATGATTTCTAAATGATTTCAACGCGGCCATCTGTTTCAGGTCAACACTTCAGTCTTCGTCAGCTGGGGATCTGTGAGCCGCCGTCTCGTCGCGGCCTGCCTTTCTGCCCTGAAATGCCTCCACCCCACCGTGGTTTCTCAGTCGGTACAGCTCAGGAGCTAGACGCTGATAGTCAGGCAGTCATGTCCCCAGAGCATGCTATGCATCTGTGGGGCCGCGGAGGTCTGGGTAAATCATCCGGGAGGAGTTCCTGCCTGTCGAGCCGCTCCAACTCAGTGCTGACTCTGACTGACACTGAGCACGAGAACAAATCGGACAGCGACAATGGTAGGAGATCAACTGTTCGCTCCCTTTTTGATATCATGTCCTGCTTTGTGCTCAAGTAATAGTTCTTATTCATCGCTGTCACACTTGGAAACAACAAGTCACAACAGTTAGCTCAGTCTTTCTGATTCAACTGTCATGTAGCTGATGGTTTAGACGTTCTCGTGGGCCAACTTGAAAGTAACGTTATACTGTTAAAATGCTACAAGAAATCCAGTTGCACTTTTACTTTTTAAAATCTCTTTTGGGGCCTTTTGCTTTTTATTGGATGCTGCCGTAATGGAGAGTCGACAGGAAAGCAGGGAGAGATTGCAGGGGGAGGGGCCTGAGGTCAGACTCAAACCTGGCTGCTGAATGTCATGCAGCACATGTTCTTCAGTCTCAGTAGAGACGAGCACAGATGGTTCTAGCACCAGCTGCTACACTATTTAGATAGAAATGTATATAAACGTATGTAACTTTATTAACAGTTTGGTCAATGATAGTAATTTATCTGTTCATGTAATGGAATAGTAGACGTCTTTCAGTAATTACAGAAAGAAATCTAAAACTATTGTTATTAAAGGATCATAAGTTGTAATTAAAAGCATTGATAACAATTTCCAAACATGTTACTTTACCTATTCTGATATTTGGGGTTTGTGTAAAAATGTATTAATTGCAACCGTTAAGTTGTTTAAGACAAAACAGCACAAACATAGATTTGAGAAACAAGATTATTGTGCACACTCCCAGGAAGTGTCCCGCATGGTGGTGGAGCGGGGTGCAAAACCAAAAGGCCCTGCCAGTTAAATGTACGAATATCTGGCACTTCAAGGCTGCCTGGTGAGAATCTCTTCAATTTTCAAAGGCAACTGTTGCTTCTGAGACATGTTGCAAACTGATTTTTATAATGATCTCAGTTTAAGTATTTGATATGTTTTAATTACTGTTTTAAAGAAGTAGTTAGCACTGTTGCCTTACAGGTGCTGAGTTGGAATCTAAGAGGTGG